TGCCCTCAAATCCGAATTGCCATCCAAATAAGGTGCAAGGTCAGAAACATTAAACGTTGCACTTACTCCATACTCTCCCGGCAAGTCGATCTTGTAGGCATTGCTTCCAATCTTCGAAACCACCTGGAAAGGACCATCACATCTAGGCATTAACTTCGATTTCCTCTGCTGGGGAAACCTCTCCTTCCTCAAATGCACCCACACCCAGTCGCCAAATTCAAAGTGCCTCGGTTTCCTGTTTTTGTTCACATTGCGCATGATCTGCTCCGTCCTTCTCTCAATGTTCAATCTCGCCTTCTCATGTAAACTCTTCACGAACTCAGCTTTTTTGGCTCCATCGAGATTGACCTGCTCATTCAAAGGTAATGGTATCAAATCCAATGGAGTGAGTGGATTGAAACCATACACGAGCTCAAACGGAGTGAACTTCGTCGTCGAGTGCACCATCCTGTTGTAAGCAAACTCTACATGGGGAAGGCAGTCCTCCCAAACCTTGATGTTGCTCTTGATCACAGCTCGAAGCATCTGGGATAATGTTCGATTGACCACCTCTGTTTGCCCATCGGTTTGAGGGTGACATGTAGTAGAGAACAACAGCTTCGTCCCTAGTTTGCTCCACAACGTCTTCCAGAAGAAACTCAGAAACTTAGTATCTCGATCGGATACTATGGAACGCGGCATCCCATGCAATCGCACCACTTCCCTGAAAAACAAATCAGCCACGTTAACCGCATCGTCAGTCTTATGGCATGGGATAAAGTGTGCCATCTTCGAGAATCGATCCACCACCACGAAAATCGAATCTCTTCCCTTCCTTGTCCGCGGCAAACCAAGCACAAAATCCATAGAGATGTCGATCCATGGAGCATATGGAATCGGTAGCGGTGTGTACAATCCAGATGATTGCACCTTCGACTTGGCCTGCTTGCACTCCACACACCTCGCACATAGATTCTCCACGTCTCCCTTCATGTGCGGCCAATAGAAGTGCTCTTGTAGACAACTCAGCGTCTTGTCTACACCGAAATGTGCCATTAAGCCTCCTCCATGAGCCTCTTTCAACAGCAACTCTCGAAGTGATGATCGAGGAATACACAACTGGTTAGCTCGAAACAAGTAGCCATCACTTCGATAGAACTTCCCATCGCCATGCTGTTCACAAGCTCTATAGATCTCCCCAAAGTCAGCATCATCAGAATAGAGCTCCTTGATATGCTCGAAACCCAAATACTTCACCCCCATCGTCGTGATCAACGAATGTCTTCGAGATAGGGCATCAGCAACTACATTTTCTTTGCCCTGCTTGTACTTGATCACATATGGAAAGGACTCAATGAACTCAACCCATCGAGCATGTCTCTTGTTCAGCTTGTGTTGAGCTTTCAAATACTTCAACGACTCGTGATCAGTGTGAATCACGAACTCCTTCGGCCAAAGATAGTGCTGCCATGTCTCTAAGGCTCGAACTAGAGCATAAAGATCCTTGTCGTACGTCGGATAGTTGAGGGCAGCCCCACTCAACTTCTCGCAGAAGTAAGCAATCGGCTTCTTCTCTTGCATCAACACTGCTCCAATTCCCAAACCAGAAGCATCACACTCCACCTCGAATGTCTTATTAAAATCCGGCAACATCAGAATAGGTGAATGCGTGAGCTTGTGCTTGAGCAGCTCGAATGCTCTGGTCTGCTCCTCTCCCCAATAGAACGTCACGTTCTTCTTGATGATGGATGTCAATGGTGCGGCAATGGTGCTGAAGTTGGGCACAAATCGACGATAAAATCCAGCAAGCCCATGAAAGCTCCGCACCTCATTCACGTTGGTTGGAATAGGCCAATCGCGAATTGCTTTCACCTTCTCTTCATCCACCTTGACTCCATCTGCCCTCACCACAAAACCAAGAAAAATAACACTAGAAGTGCAAAACGAGCACTTCTTGAGGTTAGCATACAATTTCTCCTTTCTCAACATCGCCAACACCTCTCTCAAGTGATTGAGATGATCCTCCATGCACTTCGAGTAGATCAGAATGTCGTCGAAGTATACGACCACGAACTTGCCAATGAATGGCCTCAAAACATGGTTCATCAGCCTCATGAAAGTGCTAGGAGCATTGGTTAAACCAATGGGCATCACCATCCATTCGTATAGACCCTGCTTGGTCTTAAACGCAGTCTTCCACTCGTCTCCCTCCTTCATACGAATTTGGTGGTAACCTGATCTCAAACCAATCTTGGAAAACACCGTAGAGCCATGTAATTCATCAAGCATATCATCTAATCGTGGAATTGGATGACGATACTTAACTGTAATTTGATTGATGGCTCGACAGTCTACACACATCCGCCAGGTATGATCCTTCCTTGGAACGAGAATCACCGGAACTGCACACGGGCTCAAACTTTCTCGAACATGCCCCTTCTCCATGAGCTCGTCAATCTGCCTTTGGAGCTCTTTGGTCTCTTCCGGTTTAGCTCGATATGCTGCCTTGTTTGGAATTTGAGCTCCCGGCACGAAATCAATTTGGTGCTCAATTCCGCGAATAGGAGGCAGCCCCTTCGGTGCTTCCTCTGGAAACACATCCTCGAACTCATCCAACACCACTCTTGCTTTGGCTGGAACTTCTTGGACTTGCTCTTGATTGAGCAGCACGTCCCTGTACATGAGCACAATCAAAGGTTCTCGTGCACAGGCAGCTTGCTTCAAATCTCCATTGCGTGCTAGCATCACTGCCTTCGAATCCACAATTCCAGCTCCCTCTTCTCCTTTCTTGGCCGAGGCATTACTTGCCTTTTCTTGCTCTCGACGTTGCTGCATTTGGAGTTGATCTCGATATACTTCACTTGGAGACAGAGGCTTCAACACGAACTTCTTTCCTCCATGTTGCAACTTGTACTTATTTGTCACTCCATCATGCTGTGCTTGTCGATCAAATTGCCATGGCCTGCCAAAAAGCACATGTGCAGCTTGCATAGGCACTATATCACACAAAATCTCATCTTTGTAATCTCCAATCTCGAACTTCATCAGTGCCTGCTTTGTGACTTTGATGGATCCGTGATTGTTAAGCCATTGCAGCGTGTATGGCTTTGGATGCTTCAACGTAGGCAGCCCTAGCCTCTTCACCGCACACGCGCTTACAACGTTCGTGCAACTTCCTCTATCGATCACTAGAGACAGCAACTTCCCATCAACTACACATCTCGTATGGAAGATATTTTCTCTCTGTTCACTCTCCTCCTTAGGCTGCACAGACAATACTCTCTGTGCTACAAGCAAGCTGCCTGGAGGTGGTTCCATTTCCATAGACTCATCGACATCAGAATCGGTGGTCTCTTCCTCTTCCTCCGATACATACTCACCATTATCAAGCAAGATCAGGTTCTTCTTATTGGCACACTGGCTCGCAATGTGTCCTCTTCCATGGCATTTGAAACAACGAATTTCCCCCGACGATCCACCTTGCTTCATAACTGGATTTGCACCATCAGCCCTTGCCGCGGGTCTAGGAGCTTCTTTCACGGGCAGTTGCGGCTTAGGGTTGGTTGCAACTCCTTGGCTCGAACGTGTGGAATTCATGGAGGGTTGAAACCTCCTATTTCGAAGCTGTCGTTCCACTTTACTTGCCATATCCACCAAATCTTCAAGTTCAAGGAATGGTTGTATCTCCACCACGTTCTTGATCTCTCGATTGAGACCATACAGAAAACGAGCTATGGTAGCCTCGCGGTCCTCTCTCACATCAGCACGTATCATCAACACTTCCAACTCCTTGTGATAATCTTCAACGCTTTTAGTTCCTTGCTGGAGAAGCTGGAGGTTTTGATACATATCTCGCAAATGGGAACTCGGTACAAACCGATCCCTCATAATTCCTTTCATCTCATCCCACGTCTCAATAGGACGCTGCATGTTTCTCCTTCGTTTCGTTCCCAACTGATCCCACCAAACAAGTGCATAATCCGAGAACTCTAGGGCAGCCAATGTCACTTTCTTCTTCTCATAGTAGTTATGACAATCAAACACTATTTCCATCTTTCGCTCCCAATCCAAATAAGCATCAGGGTTTGTGGTACCGCGAAAAGGGGGAATCGTGACCTTGAGGTTTCGCAAATCATCATCCTCCTCAAAGCCCTCTTCTTCCTCGTCATTAAATTCCTCTTCATGATGTTGCTGCCGCCCTCTCCTTTCAGCTCGAGGCATTCCAAGGAGTCTATGCTGGCGCATATGACGCTGTACTTCGTGAACCAAGGGTGGAGGAGCTCGGTTTTCCCTTCCCCTTTCTTCTTGTCGAGGTCTAGGGTTAGGGTTTGCATCGACCACAACCGGCTGCTGGAGCCTTGTCTCGACAGCCTCCATCCTCGTGGCTTGCTCGGCAAGCCTTGCTGTTTGCTCTTCTTGAGCATGAGCAATGTTCTCCAATTGATTTCTGATCGCTTCGAGTGCTGCTTCCATGTTTGGTAGGCAAGAAAAGTCCAAGAACTCAAAACTTAACAAGAACTCGCACAACTTGCTTCTTGCCTCGCAAGAAACACCAAGAACTCTCAAGAACAAACAACCTCCTGTCTTGCGGCTCAAGAACACGCCAAGACCTTCAAGAACTCGAACAAAACCACCAAGAACACAAACAAGAACACACAAGTTCTTCAAAAAAAACTTCAAGAACACGCCACTGATTTGAACCTTAGCTCTGATACCACTTGATATAATCAAAGTTGCGCAGGGTCAAGCTTCTCGAACCAAACAGAACCGGATAGGATGGAAATCGATCGGATAGTACTCACCCGTGAATAAGGGCAATCGATATATGAATCGATCAGACAGATTCAACTCGGAATAAAGGGCAATCGATATGGGTAGCTCGCCACAACCAGGGTGATTACCTAGCTGATAAGAGTCGCTCTAGCACTCTGGAGATTCTCGACAGAGTAATTAGGGCAAATTCCGCGTAGGAACTCGGCTTTAGCCTCTGATATTCAATAATAATCGTCTAAGGGTAAAACCAACGTGTTCAGCCCTTTAAATAGGCAAAGTACAACCCAAATCCGACTCCAACATGGAAAAACAATCATAAACCGACTTTAAAACAAGGAAACTCGGAAACAGCCAGCAAACTCGTTAAGCCCAAACCGTTAAGCCTGGACCCGTTAAGGCTGGACCCGTTAAGCAAACCCGTTAAGGCTGCTTCTTGCAATCTGCCTTCTCTTCAGCACTTCCTCCTTCTTCCTTCACTCGAATCATCATATATGGCTTCCCTCGAAATAGCTCAACATCCATGGCTCCAAAGTAGCTATCCAAATATGTCGCAAGCTTCTCCTTCAACGTCCTTGCCTTAGCACGTGTGACTGGCCCATTGACGTCCTCATCAATAAACATACCCATTCTCTTGCCCCGGAGCATTGACCACCTCTACGATGGTGAAAGTGCAAAACATCTTGGCTTCGAATCTCCTCATGACTGCTTCAAAAAAGATCGAGTCCAGTTCCTTTGCCTACAGCAAGTACATAATATGTCAGCATATATACAAATTGAATACATAACATAGCCTTTTAGATGCCCAAGATGACTTACAATCAGTGACACTTTTTCTCCCCTCTTAATTGGATCGACACAATTTGGAAGTGAGTCCCATATTTCAATCACCTCTTTCTTAAGGTCAAAAACAGAAAGAAAGAAAGAAGTGGCTACCCAGCAGCACCGGGACAAAAATCTGACATATACACACATTACTTAAACCTCAACAAAAAATTCTATCCATCACGAAATTCTAAGAGGTTCCAGCATTTGCAACAGTTACCTTCTCACAATCATTGAAGTCCCCAGAGCAGTACACTGTTTTAATTCTTTTCTCAGGGTAAGCAAAAACGCGATCTCCGGTTGCACAGGCCACCTACAAGAATAGTCATATTAAATCGTAATAGTTACACAATCAATTCACTTTTTATGGATACCTAGATAAGGTTCCAATTTTTACGTGCTAACCAGTCAGGTTCATAATGTCAATGTCACCTCTCGAACAGAAGTGCTGAAAATACACTAGTGTGGTATGATGAGTTTATTGCATGGAAGCAGCCATACAACTTTTAAAAGGAAACCTAAAAATTTGGTTTCTGGAATTTCAAGAAAAATGGGCAACACATCTAGGATTGGGTGGCGCTAGAACATTTCAATCCATAATTCATCACAAGAATGACAACATATCTGATTCCAGTTTTAGGTTCCACTCATGACAAGAAATTCACACTAAAAAAACAGCACAAAAATTATGGCCTAAAGTTCAAGTTTTTTTAATGACAGACAACAAGTTTAAGTGACTAGCCGAGATTTTCTAATGACTGCACAAAAATTATGGCCTAAAGTTCAACAGATTTTAACAACCCTATACAATCATTCATAATGAAGACTCTTATAACCAAAAATAACTTTTAGCATACAGTAGAGTTTGAAATATGTCCAATTACTACTTTTAAAGATATGCAAAATAATACCAAATACAACTTATGAACTTACAGCAAATGCCGGTGGTAAGAACCAATTCATAGGTTTTTCATTTTCCAACTCCGGCACCGTTAACAAGTCAACGCACATAGTGATCACCTACAAATAAACAGTGTCAAAACACATATCATGTTACACAACTTTGCTCCTTTACTAAGCCATTTATAAATTCAAGAATCAAGATAAGTTGTATACGAACCTGAGTAGACAATGGTATTTCCGGCACTAATACCTTAAACTCTCCACGGGTTAGATGAAACCATGGAGATCTAACCAGCGCCTCACTACAACCAACAACAGACAATACAAATCATTTTTGAGTGCTTTTAACTTGCAGAAAATGAATTATGCTCAATTAATAACAATGTAACACAATTTTTTTAATACCTTTCATCCTTGAATGGATAAAAAACGTGGCTGATCAACCACTGATCCCTTTTTGATAGGGACTTTGTAGTGATGAAGGCCGATCACCTTTATTTTGGCATTAGTCCTCTCGGGATCTTTCCGGGTCCAAATAGGACTCCGCAACCTAATTGGAGACTTTCTAACCGCTTTCCCCTATCATTTAACATATGTATTAAAACACTGATATCACATAAACACAAAAAACAAAAGTGTGACTATGGGTACCTTTCTCCTGCTGACTGTGCTTTTCGTCTCATGTTTACTCCTTGTTGCCAAGGAAAACGAGCTATCCGAGCTTAAGTTCACAACTTCGACTTTATCGTCATTCTTCTCCTTTCTGCCATTTTCAGAGTTTCCACCGAACCTCCCAATCAACAGGTCCCTAAACGACTGCACTGTTGTCCTCAAGTCGTTAATATCACCCTTCAACTCCCTTTTCATAGATAGCTGACCTTTTTCCAAGTCAGTCATAAACGAATGCAGGCTCCTGATCTGCATAACAAAAACTCAGGCATTTAGGTACCCCAAATAAAAAATAACAAATAAAAAGAATGCAGGACATTGTACGAATTTTGAAACTTTACCTCGTTTGATTCGGCTGCTGTCTTGTCTAACCTGAAAACAACATTAAAAAAACGAAGCTTTAGCAGGTGGCCATAAGACTCAGGAACAAAGGCATCGGAAAACAACTAAAACTAACCCTTCCATGACACCGATCTTCCTTCTTTTGTTTTCTTCCCGAAAATACGAAGATTATTCCACTCGGATGAGTAGCTTATATAGGAAAAACGTGTTTAGAGTTCTGATGAAGGGAATTGTTACAAAATATTTTTGTTGTGATTTGTATTTATTAGAAATAAAATTAAATAAACTAATAAGCTTCCTAGAAGGTAAATACTTCTTATCAAAACTCGTGGGTGGGAATCAAAATCCCTTTTTTTATTAAGTCTCCTAGTCTTCACAATTGTGATATATAAAACTGAAATACTTTAATCATTCTTTCCTGGCGTGAAAAAGTGCAGGGAGCTACAGTAAGGAAAAGAAAAAAACCCCAATCAGAAGCAACGCAAACAACAAGTTGTATGAAACACAAGGTACATGTGTTGCTTCAGTTTATTTATGGATCAACAGTGAAGACAGACCAGATTTGAGGAAAGAAGGTTTAACAGGGATTTAAGTTCAAATGGAAGCACAAGCTTTCTGAGACCAAGTCTCTTTACTTCTCAAATCCGACTCTTAAAGTTAAAAAAAAAACAGCTTCAGGTCGAATCAAAACAAATTGCCAAGACCCAAAACCATGCCTAGATGCACAGTCCCGTCAATTTGACCAAAATACGGATAGCTACCTCAGTCTGCGTTTGATGCCATTTAATATGTTCCCAACTAGGCATCTACCTATATACATCCACCCTCTCTAGTCTCAACTATGCATCAAACAAGACATCAATCACCATAAGTATAGAGCTACAACACTTTCAACAGTTTAATATGCTCTCATCTAGGCATCTACCTACATATATCCACCCTCTCACCTATGCATAAAACAAGTTATCAACCACCATACGAAAAGGAGATCTAGAGTCAGAGCAGTTAGAGCAAGAGCACACAGCCTAGCAACATGTCAATTAACCAACCATTCAGACCCATAAGTGATGATTAACAGTTCTTAACACATGCATCCACCGAACCTGTGAATTATCATCAATCCTTTCCTGTATAACGACTGCTTATGTTACCTTTTACACAGTCTGCTTCTTCTTTCCTTCCCGCATAGTCGACCTCCATCCTAGCAACCCGATCTTGCTCTTTCCGCCTCATTTGCCGATACTTTTTGTTAAAAACCAAGTAGATGTGAGATGAATATATGAGGACTTCAATCCAGCCATAACATTGATTTGTGCACTATGAAACTCAAAACTTTTTAGACAGCTAGTTTTAGCAGCTATATTAGCTGCTCATACCGAAACACAATAGATCACGGTTATGCCCATATCAATTTCCTAGAGGTTCCGCATTATTTGAAAGCACCAGGATCACCATTTTCGGAAGCATACTCACAAGAGATTAGATGTTCAATGCATTAGTAAGGTACAAAGGATAACTCAAGAACCAAATATTATGTGTAGAGAACAACAAGAACCTATGGCAGCTGAATGGATAGATAAAATGCAGAGTTAAGACCACGCAAAATAGGCTGAAGAAGATCATCGTACCATACACAGATAGACAACCTGGACCCTAGTGAAATTAAGTTCAAAGAGGCTGAATAATGATGCTGATGTTTGATTTAACTCCCTATTAACATAATCTGTAGAAATAAATCATCACTACCAGAAGCCAAAGAAGTAATGCTAATAGTACAAACAGAAAGACCTCCACCCACCACCATACATGTAGGAAGAGATCTTCTTTAAGTTCATTACAATGTTATTAGACTACAAATGATTTTTTATTAATTTTGTATGCTTCTTTCTCCTGAGAAATCAATTTTCAACACATTAAGCCTGTGAAGACATCAACTACAATAGTTCAATTATGTGTAAATGACATTTCGACAGCAGATTTACCCCCCCCCCCCTAGCAAAAGCACCATTCATTCAATCAGAGAACTGTCAATGCTGCTCCAGCTCATCGCCTTAGCATCTACCACGCCAAAATAAGAGAGACCATTCATATAGTTCTAGATAAGCCTAACAATGCTTTCCGGATAATGCTTGTGGTCGCTAAAATTTTACAACAACTTAATCTGCCCTTGTTATAGTCGCCATGTTCATCACCTATAACACTTTACTCTCTGAACCTGCAATCCTTTAGCTTGAACAGCAACCCTAACCCCACAAATTCTAACCAAGACTAATCCCAACCCTATTCGCTATGCATTCACAACTTATCACAAAAGTTCAGAAAAGTTACAATGAGGAACTCCTAAACCTATGCAAACTCCACCGTAAAGTAAAACGAGAGGCACTCTTGTGAATGACGCAAGTCGCAATACCTGGTGAAAGTCGCAATACCTGGTGAAACTCGAGACTACGCTCGATTGCCGTAGCATGACCCGTAACTCCCGTCAATCTCATAAATCATCCGCTGCACCGCCTCCCCTTGCACCTATGACAAATCAAGCTAAAAAACCCTAAGTTTAGAGAGATAAATCGGCTTGATAGGAGAATCGGGATAGGAGATGGCGTTGAATTGAAGTCCCTCGCTTCTGATGCAGATGCATGTGGCCTTGGGGGAAGAAAACCAGGGGAGTTTAATTGAAGTCCCTCACTTCTCCCAAACTCCAAGCTTTCGATCATCACCATCATCGCAGCCCACCGTCGCCTTATCAGTCTCTTCTTCTTCTTCTTCTTCTTCTTCTTCTTCTTCTTCTTCTTCTTCTTCTTCTTCTTCTTCCACCACCTACGGATCCCAACCCTCGCTTTCCCTCCTCTATAAATGCTCATTTCATACAATTGCATCGACAAGGTCATTCTTTGGCGGGAGAGTAGGAGAGGCCAACGGCGATTACAAGACTTCGGCCGAATCGGAGATTTTTTTTTTATTCGGGAAGCAAGAAAGCAGAGAATCAGCAGCAGCAGCGAAAGGAGTAGTGTGGAAGGGAGGAGGATGAGGAAAGGCGGCGGCGGGGGTCGGAGAGATCATCGGCTTCGCAGCGTTCAGGGAGAAGGGAATACGGCGACGTAGCCACTTCTCCGCCTCTTCTGAGAGCAAAGCCTCCTTCTCGACTGGCCGAATCGGAGATATGAAGGTGAAAGGGGATAGGGGATGGAGTTTGTTGAAAATGGAGGAGCATGGACACGAAAGGATAAGAGGAAGAAGGTGAAATGATTTGTGGGATCTTTTCAGAAAAGGAAATGAATAAAATGGTTGTGAAATTCAATATTTTAGTTATGCATTTTGAAAGAAGAAATAAAAATAATTGTATAATTTATTATTGATAAGAAATTTGGGTGTTATAAATTATGAATGGCAAAAAGAAGGTACTATAAATGTTCAATTGAAAATTTACATGATTGATTTAAGCAGAAAGACGGCAAAATATTATTTGGGACTAAATAGTATTTCGAAATAAATTTATAGGTATGCTTGTAATTTTAATTATTCTTAATTATTTACTTAATTATAACTAATTAAAAATTATTAACAAGTGTGAACACAGGCGCACAGCGTACGACCATCGTACGCTAGCCTGAACCATATATATATATATAAATAAGAAAAAAAGATATGGATGGCGGCCACTAGTAGTGATGGAGAATTTTTTCTCTCACCTTTGCTTTGCTTGCTTGAAGACCACGTTGAATTTGAGAGCTCGTGTTGGGATGTAGTATGTTGAAGTATGTGAAGATGTGAAGAATGAGAAGGGGAGGTCTCTATTATAGAGTTGGAGGAAGCTTTAATGAGAGATTCCATTGCAGTTATGGAAAGGATTTGATTGCATTAGAATCCTACAAGGAAAAGGAAATTAGAATCCTAGCCAAGTATGGCAAGAAAATAATAAATTTATTTTTTAATGGCCGATCAGCCGAGTGCTCAAAGGGGAAGGAATTCCTTTTCCTTTATGCGATGAGTCGAATGATTATTTGGATGGCCATACAAAAATTTAGTCCTCTCCCATTTGTTACAAGCCGGTGAGATGCGGAGTAGGCCAAACAAGTCGAGGAGCCAAGGCCTTCTTGCTTAAATTCGAGTATGGGACATGGTCATGGTTGGCGTGGAAAAAGAGACGGGCTAAGTAGGGGTGAACAAATACACCCGCAAACCGACCCACCCGTCCAACCCAATCCACCCGTATTTATCTCTAAAAAGAAGGTTTTGGGTTGGGTGAGGGTTTTCTTTTGTACAACCCGCCTCTTTTGGGTTGGGTTTGGATTTTGGATTACACAACCCGTAGAACCCGACCCAACCAGTGTTCCAACTATTAGTATGAGTTCGGATCTAAAAAATATTTGTTTACCACTAAAAAATCACTCAATACCACATTGATCATTTTCAAGGGGTGGTAGTGATTTATAAGGCCAACTTAACCATGTTAATTAAATTGGTTTAGGTTGGGCCTAAATAACGGTATTTTGGGCTTCATACCAGGTGCCTCAACACACACCACTTGACCGACCGAACACCCGCCCGTCACGCAAGAGTGATCAAGTGTCAAGCGTTGACACCCTTCCACATCAACCACCCAAGTGGGCACCCCACCATACTTAGCCAAATTTTGGCTAAGTGTTGAGACCCATAGTACAAGGGGGGTCAAGCATGAAACCTACCTCGCGGGTAAGTACTCCTAGACATATGATGGGGTGAAGAAAGCCAAAGGGCAACACAAGTCACTAGACCGTGATGGGAAAGAAGGCATGACGTCATGTCAAGGGGGTTAGCACAAGTACCACCAAGCGTGAAGTCTTCACTCACCAAACAAGACAGTCAAGCAAGCTACATCAAACACCAAGCAGTGGAGCACCGGTTACCAAGAGGCGGTTGCACAACGGTTACAATGGATGGCTATAAATAGGAGAAACGAAAACGAAGGAGGGGTTCCACAACCAAACATTTGACGCACAATGTCAAAATTTATCTTTTCTCTGCAAATCAGCTTTTAGCTTTTCGGAGCTCTCACTGAACCTCCATAGGAGTAGAGTAACTTAGATTGTTCCCAAAAAACTATCAAAAACATCAAACACCCTCGTTCGAACATTGTTCGGAGAGGTGTGAACCGTGTTGATTTTCGTTGTTCAAGAAGTCAAGGTGCAAATCATTTAATTCAAACACCAGTTTTTCCTCGCCGGAAAACACATTCTCAATAGCAAAATGACATGGCATAGGTGTTTGCAATTGCAAAACCAATTGCATTGATGTGGCTACCAATGATATATTTGCAAGCTTGCAACAAATACAATTCCATATGCAAGTCAAAAAAGCCTACAAAAATGGGGATATTTTATTTTATTTTCTTTTCTTTTTTACTTAATTTTCTATAATTTAAACATAATGTTTAATTATATTTGTAATTGCAAGTTAATTGCATTGATGTAGGTGAAGGAATGAATGTGATGTGAATTGCAAAAAAATTGAGTTGACAATAAAAAACACAAATACAATTTATTTTGCAATTGCATTGATGGAGATGCTCTTAATTTATTAAATATCTTTTATGTTTGTTATCTAAAAACACATCTCTATTTTTACCCAAAAAAACATCTCTTTTTTAATAGTTACTCATTTTATTCATTTCCTCTTGTTAGTCACCTACCTTCCAATTGCATTAAATTGCAATCAATTAAGATCTTTGACCTTTAATTTGTTGACATGGGAATTGTTTTGAAAAATATAGAAGTCGTGGTATTTGTTTCATTCAAGATTGGGTCTCACTGCCAGGCGTCCTGTCTGTAGCTTCGAAGGGGTATTCACGTTTGGCATATATCTGCTCTTACAGAGATATTGGAAAATGATTCCCTATTATAGGGCTGACTATTTGGTCCGGGTTTTTTGGTTTTACCCGAAACTGGACTGTATAACCCGGACCGGGACCAGATAGTAAACAATCCAATCCAATCTTTGGGCTTAGATTTGAGGTAAAAAACTGTTCAGGACCGGATTGAAAACTGGATAAAGATCGGATAAGAGAGCTCAACACCCAAAACTTAAGGGTAATTTGCATAAACGGTCACAAACTTTTGCACTTAGTATAAAACTTAACCAACTCCCCGCCCTTTCAGGCCTTAGGCCACTCAAATCCCCACAAACTCAATATAAAATCAAGACTGAATTGGGACCGGACCGGGTCATGACCGGACCGGATCAAGACCAGACTGTATCCAATCTTTGGCCCTTATATTTTCAAAAAAACCGAACTGGACTGGATCAATTTGGGCCAATTTAACCGAACCGTATATATAGCCACCCCTACCCTATTACAATCTGGTGGTGGAACTTTAGCCTTTAGGTCACCCTTGGAGAAATGTAGGTGGTGCCGTAGCTAATCAGGTAGCGCTAAAAGTATGTGTACAATCTCGTAATGAGGGAAGTGATCATGTTCGTGAGGATAACGAAATTATTCGGGAGCCTAGCTGCTAATGGAGTCCTGAATTGCCCGCTCCCTGTGAAGTATATGGAAGGAAATTAAATAAGGATACGCTGCAATGTCACCTTGCCGAAACTAAAGAGGAACTCGACGAGAAGCTTCTGGAAACTACGGGAACGGGCAGGAATTATAAAACCCATCCAAACTCCACTCGGAATTGGAATTCCCTTCCAGTTCCAAATACGGCCACTCGATGCTCTCTATATAAAGTCGCCACTCGCTTGCAGCGTCATTCTTCACTCATTCCAAAATCCATTCACAATACACACTCCCAAACACAGCTCCTCAATCGTCCTCAAAACCCATACTACTATTCAATCAATTCACCGCAAAAATTCGATCGATCGAGAGGATGGCTTCAGAACCCAGTCTTTGCGGCAACGGCTGCGGATTCTACGGCTCCCCTCAAACCAACAACCTCTGCTCCAAGTGTTACAAGGACTCCCAGAAGAAGCAACAACCCAAACCCCCCGTCACCGCCGTTTCTTCAACCGCCGCCGCCACTGACGACGTCGTCTCCTCCCAGCTGGCCGCAGCTAAGTCGGACTCGGCCACGGATAACAGCGGCGGCGGGGTGAATAATAAGGGGAAGAGCCGGTGCAAGGCGTGCAACAAGAAGGTCGGCCTGCTGGGTTTCGCCTGCCGGTGCGGCGGCGTGTTCTGCGGGTCCCACCGGTACGCCGAAGAGCACGGGTGCAGCTTTGACGTCAAGGGAATAGCGCGCGAGATTTTGGTGAAGCAGAACCCGCTCTGCAAGGGCGATAAATTGGAGTTCAGGATTTGAACAACACGATTCATTGTAGTTTAGTTTATCAGATTTAGATTCTTTTGATTCGATTTCAAAGATTAATTTACATAATTGTATTGGCTTAATTAAATCGATCCTTAATGTATACAGTTTGATCACTTTATCAGATTCATCACCGTTTGTATTCTTGTCCTCATACCTTGTCGCGACTCGCGCGAAGCGGCTGTTAAACGAAGCATGTATGTTAGCTTCAGCAGTTTGGGCTTAGGTCTATTTTACATTGGGCTCTGACTGACGCCGCCCGTTTAATCCCTCACTGAGGAGATCAATTGGGCCCAGGCTTACACTCTCAGGCTCACTACACGAATTCACCGGACCAATGCACAAACGAACCCAGGCAGCTTCTTACCCGTTTGCCGTTAAAGCCCAATTCGTAGGCTCAAGTGTGTAAATTACCGGCCATTATGAAATTGAATGACTAAACGTTGCCCTAATGTTACTAGTTAAATGCTCTTCGTCAGGGTAAATCTGCAACCCCTGCACCCCAAATGTTCCTCCTCTTTCTTGTCACCAGTGGCGGATCCAGGGGATGACCACCCCGGGCCACAGCCAAGCCCTCCTTTGGATCAGGAGCTAGTAGAACCCTTATAAGTTTATCGATTTTAGTCATTCGGTCCTGTGTTATTTTATAATAAGATTGTGTGTAATTAGGAAAATTGGTAAGATGAACATATTCAAATCACACCTCTAAAATTAGCCTGAAATTCTAGCTCCAATGATTCTCATCTAAAAAAAAACAAACAATGAAACTTAAAATTCTTAAACGTAAAAGAGTAAAAGAAATATGAGGTTTATTCCCTTAGGAAATTACTAGAGCAGCTGGTGAAAATAGGAATTGATACACAATATATATTGATTAGTCGATTGATTTGACCAGTGTTGACATTGTTCGTTTCAACAGCTACTATGGAGAGAACCTTTTCAACAATGAAATAGGTGAAAATTTATGTGCCCAACAAAATGAGCGATGAATTCTCGCCAATTGGTTAACTATTTTATCTTAAAAAGAGTATGCTATTGGTATGGATGTAAACTCCATTATTGATGAATTCAATGTATTAAAATGTAAAAGATCGATGTGTACAATTGATATTGTAAAAAAAATGTGATTTTTTTACGGAGCTAATTTTCTAATGAAATTCGGCCCAATACTCTACTGTGTTCTGAATCTGCTTCTGCTTGCCACTCTCCATCAGCTCGCCCTACTCCTCCTCTATACTGCCGCAATTGGCATGGTTTCCTTTAAATTTGATAATTACGGTAATTGTTATTATAACTTGCAATCATATTTTAATTTGTTGTGTGTTAGGTGATAAAAATTGTGTGCTACATGAAATTGTAATCGAAGTTTTTTTGCCTTTATTTCAAAGACGTTGGTCGCCTTTTTCACTTTGCCGGAGGTGGGGACTGGTGGCGGCAGCGGGTTCAGTTAGCGTGACTACCCCTAAAGGGGTAGTGATTTTTGACACCCCCTTTATGATTGGCCAATTTTATTTCCAATCATTGGCAAGTATTAATTAAACTGGTTTTTTATTTTTTTTTAATCTTGTAATTTGGGGTCTCTCACCACATTGGAAAAGAGAAAGAATCTGGGGAAAAACGAAATCACCCCCATTAATTACATAATTAATTTCTCTCACTGGTACATTAATTACACGTACCACTCCACTGGTACACGTACCACTCCACTGGTGCGAGCAATCCACAAGGTAGGTTAGAGTGAGAACAATACCAGTGCAATGATATTTTTCATAACAATGATAAACAATAATAGGGAAAAAATAGGAACTTTCCATTAGTAGCCAAAAACTGTGTTCCAAAATGGGTTGCAAAATTAGGGAAATGCCAACAACAATGCCAAAAGCAATAAATTATCCTTCGAATGTGAATAAACATAAAGTCTTCACAATTTTTTAAGCCTAAACAGGACATATGGTTACACGTACCACTCCACTGGTACACGTACCACTCCACTGGTACACGTACCACTCCATTGGTGCATTTTTTTCTGCCGACGAGAAACCCCCCAGGTGTTCTTCTTCACGTTCTTCTTCATCTCCGACGGGTTCTCCGCCGACGAGAAACCCCCTAGGTATTCTTCTTCACGTTTTTGTTGTTGTTGTTAGTTAGTTAGTTAGTTACTGTGGTATTGGCCCTGTTGATATTTTCATCGCCGAAATCATCCCGATGAGAAGGCGATGATTTGCTGTTGCAAGGCTGGGGCTGCCAAATGGAAGAGGAGCCCAGAAAGGCATCGAACAATCTGCTCCATTCAGCTACATCCCCCCTACCTTGCTGTTCATCTTCTCGGATTCGAGGTCCTTGAGCATCTGCTGGGCTCTCTCGTAGGCCTTGAGAGTCGAAGGCGATCCCACAGTCGGCAAGCAACTCGATGGTTTCCGGCCACCATCGATTTCTGTAGAGGAGAGGGATGGGTTGCTATTTTTTCGGGAGGGAATATGGGAAATATAGGAGTTGAAAAGGCACTTTCCTCCTCCAACGTTTTTCTCCTTCCCCATTCATAATTATTATCACAATTAAGGCTTTCCCAATTTACAAGATTACAATAAATAAAGTAAAAAGCAACTTTCATTAATAAAACTTATCAAATGATTAAATGGAAAAGTGACCAATCAAGAGGAGGGTGTCAAAAACCACTACCCCTTTAGGGGTTAGCATAGTATCCGACAGCCAGTAACAACTAACAACAAAGATGAGTAATGGCAACGACAATCAGATTTTCTGGTCAACATTTTTATTTTGTTTATTGGGTGAGTTGTGCTTGTTAGGATTAAAATATATTTTAACAATGAAAAAACAGATGGATAAAGATGTAATTTTGATTTTAAAGTTAGGACGATGTTTAACGACCCCTAATGAAATCTAATTGAGAACGAGGACGGTAACTTTACCCGACAATTCAATGATAAAGCTTTTGATGGTGATATCGTTATATAATTGTTTTATGGGTAGTTATCATAAATGGTCACAAACCTATTCGCTTTGTACAAAACGGTCACAATCCTTTAATTTTGCACGTTTTGGTAAAAAAGGTTTGAGCGAATAACAAAATGGTCAATCCGTCCAATTCCGTCCAAAACTCTGTTACTTTTGAATAGTCAGCTTGACACATCATTTAAAAAATTATTTAACTCGTCTCTTTCCTTCCACCACGATTGCGGCGGCATAACCGGAAAGACGAAGCCAAATCAATTCATCGACTACATCCACTCCACTCCACTCCACTCTCGCCCGCCGCACCCTGGCTTCACCCTAGACGAGTTCTTACTCCAAGAAGCCATCCTCACGCGCTGGATCCGCCGCCTATCACGACCACCACGTCGACGCCACCATTGATTATGCTCTGTCCCGCGGCGGCATCCACCTCCTGTATTTGGAGCTTGGCACCGCCTGCGCAATATTAACCAGACCAGCCAACTAAAATTCCCTATCCTTTTGAGCACATAACAACTTCCCAAAATTAAACTCGCCCAAGAGAAAAGCAAAGTGCCATTGTTTCAGTTCCCAAAATTACACTTAGCCACGGAAGTGGTTGGCGATACCCTTTAGGCGGCGGAACCAAAGAGTTCAATTCTTTACCTTTCCGAAGACAATGCCTCTCAAATCTCTATCCAGGCTCCAAATCCAGGAAGAGGTAATAGCAACGCTTGGGTTTTGCGCTACGGTGCCGAGCTCCAGATCCAGGACGCGGACGCCGCCGCGGGGCAGAGCATAATCAATGGCGGCGTCAACGAGGTGGTCGTGCTAGGCGGTGGCTTGGATTCGAAATTCGTTTAGGGTGAAGCTAGGGTGCGGAGGGCGAGAGTGGAATGGATGTAGTCGATGAATTTCTTTCGCTTCGCCTCTCCGGTGTCATCGCCGCAGTCGTGGTGTAAGAAAAGTGACGGAATTAAATAATTTAATTTTTAATATTTTTAATGACATGTCAAGCTGACTGTGTAAAAGAAACAGAGTTTTGGACGGAATTAGACGGATTGACCATTTTGTTATTCGCTCAAACCTTTTTTATCGAAACGTGCAAATTTAAAGAATTGTTACCGTTTTGTACAAAGTGAATAGATTTGTGACCATTTATGATAACTACCCATTGTTTTATAGTAGTAAAATATTATATCGATTTGGAATCCGATAACTTATTTCTCCGGTGGATAGACCGATATAATATGATTTAGCAAAGACAGGTTCAAACAAATAACTGGGAATTGTTTTGTGAGAAAAACTTATATGAAACCTTCCTATGTGGCAATCCAATATAAAGGTGGTTGGCAATCTTGAGTCCTTGTTCTGAGTTTTGGCTTGTCTAAAATTCTTATACCACTTTTCATGAATAATTCATTTGAGGCCGTCATATCATGGATAATGTCATCAATTGGGGGAAATGTTCCACTACCTAAGTTTTGAGGGAGGAACATTACTATGGCATCGAAGATTTACAAAGAAAATACTTAAATTTAGATTGACTATCATTCTTTATTTCCTTTGAGCGGAATGCTTTGTTTGATTGAATCACACTGCAAAAAATGGGTCTATGGCAAGGGTTTTTTCTACCTATACCAAGGGTTTTAACCCCTGCTAGCAGTTATAGCAAGGGTTTCGCAAACCCCTGCATGAACCCTCGCCAATGCTGCCTAGCTATGTGTAGCAAGGGTTTTTAGCAACCCACGGTGAAAGTCCCGTCCAAGGGTTGTAGCAGGGGTTTCAAACCCCTGCTATATGTATCAGGGGTTAAAACCCTTGCTACACTTCAGTGTAAAATTCACTAATGAGATGTTTGTAGTAGGGGTTAAAACCCTTGCTTTGTTCGTCGCTAAATCAATTTGCAACCAACTAAAAACTGTCACTAAAGAGATACAAATAAATCGTCGCTAAAGAGAACCCGCAGATTTGTGACTATTAATTGGTTGCAATTGCACTGGTCACTATAGATAAATCCAGAACCAAGCATTTTTCTTGCT